CAGGACGCGGTAATGCTTGCCGCGCGGTGGAAGTTCGCCCGACAGCCAATCAATATGCTGCTTTCTGTAATCACCTTCTAGCTCTTACGAAAAAACAACATATTGATTGGCTGTCGCGCGGCAAGCATTACCGCGTCCTGTGTGCAGGAGCCATTATTGTATCGATTGAATGCGTCATCGTTGATATGCATTGTCAATATTAAGATTATTTAATAGAAAGTTACTATATAGTACGCGTATCAAGTGCACGATGTTAACTAAGCCAATGGCCAGGTTTGCATCGTGCACTTGATACTAAATAGTAACTTTCTATTGGATAATCTTAATATCGATAATGCATATTAACAGCGACGTATTCTATCAATACAATACGTTTTGTTGATGAGTATTATACCAGCTTAATATACCGTTGTTTATATACATCGTCGATATTAAGATTATCTAATAGAAAGTTATTATTTAGTACGCATATCAAGTGCACGATGTAAACCAAGCCATTAAGGTGCCTTTACATGGGAATATCGAGCGTCAAGCGTTAAAGCGGTAGCCAATCAACGTGCCACTTTCCGCAAGAACTACAAGTAACCTGATACGTTGATCGGCCAACGCTTTAACGCTCGACGCTGGAACGCTCCCATATATCGGCACCTTTATCGGAAATACCCTCAATCTTAAGATGTCATGAACTAATACCATATTCGCATCTTAAGACATTACTTAAGACGGTCTTGAAATAAGATTCGACTATGAATACCGGCCATAGAGCCATATTCGTATCTTAAGACATTATTAAGGGCGCCGCACATGAATTGACATAACAGTAATGTAATAGCGAATTCGGTAGCTTGCACTAGTGCGCACTGAGTGCGCATTAAGGCTTGTTTACAGTACATTCTTATATTTAAGATCGTGTCTTAAATACATCTTTAAAAACATTTTAACTAATAAAATGATTCGTACGGATGTTATACATATCATATTATGGTTAAAAATATTTGAGAATTTATTTGAGAATTATTTAAGACAATTTTTAAATATAATAACATACTATGAACAAGCCTTAGTGCGCACTCAGTGCACACTAGTGCAAGCAACCGAATTCGCTATAAGACGTATCGTAAAAATAGACCAATTATAATCGAATATTCACAAAAATGGCGATCTTACGGTTCGACGATACTCAAAGTGATTGGTCAATTCTTACGGTACGTCTTACGTTACTGTTATGTCAATTAATGTGCGGCCATAGGCCGGTATTTATAATCCGATTTTATATTTAAAGTCATCTTAAGTACTGTCTTAAGATGTCATGAACTGTATCACAGAGCCGTATTCGCATCTTAACATATTACTTAAGCAAGATGGTTTTGAAATAAGATTTGACTATGAATACCGGCCATAGTCGGATCTTATATTTAAGATTATCTTAAATAATATCTTAAGATGCGAATACGGCTTTGTAATTGGTTCATGACATCTTAAATCTATGTATACATAGCCGGTATTCATAGCCCGATCTTATATATAAGATCATCTTAAGTACTAAAATGTCATAATCAATCACAGAGCCGTATTCGCATTTTAAGACATTACTTAAGACGGTCTTGTAATAAGATTCGACTATGAATATCGGCCACAGACCAAGCATTCTGTCCGCAAAGTAAAGCCGGAAGTTGACAGTTTAAAACAGAGTGAGAAAGTTGATTTGCCTTTATGGCTCCTGCACACAGGAGGCGGTAATGCTTGCCGCGTGGCAGAAGTTCGCGCGACAGCCAATCAATATGCTGCTTTCCGTAATAACCTTCTAGCTCTTACGGAAAAACAACATATTGATTGGCTATCACGCGAATTTCCGCCGCGCGGCAAGCATTACCACGTCCTGTGTGCAGGAGCCATTAGTGCTTTCTCACTCTATCTTATTGACTGTCAAACAGGAGGGCCCGTTTAACATTGCAAATATTTTAAAACGTTAAATAAATCAATCTGATTGATCCATTCGTCACTCTGAAGCACTTACAGCATTAAATGGAACTATTTACAGCACTAAACCTTATCCAAGAACTGTATTTCGTGATAACAACCTAACCTTTTTCATTTGACAGTGGAATGCGAACAGTATAATGGTTCCTGCACACAGAACGCGGTAACACTTGCCGCGTGGCAAAAGTTCGCGTGACAACCAATCAATATGCTGCTTTCCGTAATAACCTTGTAGCTCTCGCGGAAAAACAACATATTGATTGGCTGTTGCGCGAATTTCTGCTGCGCGGCAAGCGTTATCGCATTCTGTGTGCAAGAACCATAAGAAATATCCATAAGAACCATAAGAAATATCAGCAACGTAGGTATCGATAGGGTGATTTAGCGACATCTAATGTCATAGGCCTTAAACATACGGTAGGTTGCAGGGTAGGCGGCGCTGCAGAGAGACTATAGAAAAGCATGTGCGTGAGAGAGAGAGAGAGAGAGAGAGAGAGAGAGAGAGAGAGAGAGAGAGAG